TCCCTAATTTGGTTTTGCTATGCAACTGCAACTTGGTTTGCAGCCTGTTTTGAGATAGCGTAGCCGAAGGGAGCTTTGGAGATGTCCAGAAGCTGTCTGGGAAAGTCCTAAGTCCATGGTGAAATGATCCACCCAAACCAGAAGAGACTGAGCCTGAGTCTACAAGAATTGTAGTCAAGCCACTCTCCCCAGTGTTCCTGGACCTCCCCTCTTCTCTGTATCCTGGGTCAGCCTGGAAGGGCTGCTGTGTCCGACTGGGGTGAATCAGGGGCTGAAGGTGGTTGCACGCCGTGGGTCAGGCTGCAGACCTCTGTCTGGCTCTGCTTTGGGGGTCTGTGCCCCATGGTTCAGTTTTCTTTCTTGAGTTTCTCTTGGGGTGTTGCTGTCACGAGCAGAACTAGGCTTCTTCCAGCAGGACAGACATCTGCCTGGTTAACTTTAGAAGCAGTCAGACCCATTGTCTGGTCTCACTGTGGGTCATACCTCTCCTAGACTGGCCAGCCTTCCTCAGCAAGGGCGGTGACTTTGTTGGCAGTTCTCCATTTTCCTGAGACTTGTCACTCCCTAGGAGCATTCTTGGTTGCCCCTCTGGAGCTGTGGCCCCTTACAGCTCTCACTTGTTGATGAGGGCTCTGTGCCAGCAGAAGCTCTGGAGCACCCCCATCTTGGGTGGGCAGGTAGCTTTCCTGTTGCTAGGAGGACCTAGGGCTGGCCACCCTGGCCTGGCATGGGCTCTGACAATGCCTGCCCAGGGCCCTGTGTTTGTGCCAAAAGTGAGGCCTCTCTGGGATTCACACATTGTCCAGGGGAAGGGGACTCCAGGACTTGTTATTCACGTGGACAGAGAGCCAGGCTGAGTTCCCAGCTGGGTGCGGCTCACTGGGGCTCAGCCCAGCGCTCTGCCTACCTCCGACTGCCTCTCCCTGCTCCTCTTTCTCCTCCCTCCAAACGGCTCTTCTGACTCACCTTTTCCTTCCTGTCTCTTGCGGCTGCTTTTTCGGACTTGCCTTTCTCCTCCCAGGAACGCGTGTCAGGGCTAGGTAAGCTTGTCCAGTGCTCTCCCTCTGACCCTCCTGTTCACTCCCGCAGCCCCAAGCTCAAGGAGCCCACGCCCAGCCCACCGCCTCCTCTGAAAAGGCAGGTAGGGCTCCTTCCAGTGGATGCTGTGTTGGCGAAGCCAGAGGGGACTTTGGTCCAGAGGGTGGGTCAGCGGGTCTCTTCACACTCCAGATAGGGCTGACTAGATTCCCTAGGCAAACAGACACACCTTGAGGTCACCACCCTTCAGGTAAGAATAACTAAGTGTGCAGCGTCCTGACACTCGTGCCATTGGGCGCTCAGCCAGGCCCAGGTTCTAAATACCAACCACCATGCCCTGGCCATTGTGGCCTGGGGCAAACAAGGAACACCACATGGAGGACTTGGCGTGAGGCCCTGGCCACACTTAGCTCTGTTTACAGGCCTCGGGATAGGTGGTTTCCCAGCTGATGAAAGTGGCCATGATGGTGGAAGGGGCTCTGGTGGCCACTTGGCTGCACACTCCTTCCTCCATGGGGGTAAGACTGGCATGTGGCCAAGGCCTCCCCGATGCCCCAGCAAGTGAGGACCTGGGCAGTGGGCAGGGAGATGACTGGCAGCCATGGCATCTCTGGGTTTGGGATTTGAATAGAGTCACTATTCTTGACCCTGTTTCAAAGATATCTGGTCAGCATCAGGAATTCAGTGTTGTGTCTAGGTGGTGGAGGCTGAGTGAGGCACACGGAACCAGGCGATGTTTTACATGTGTCTGAGCACCACCTGGGGAGTTTGGTTTTAATTTGCCAAAGGGCACATGTGTCACTAGAGAGAGAGGAAAAAGCACCCCCCACATGACATGATCACACCACAATCCCTTCTCCACCATTTTTCCCTCCCTTCTAGACTTTGGACACACACACACACACATGTGCCCAGGCTGTTTTTCAAGCCTCCAGGCCCAGGACTTGAACTGTGTGGTCAGCCAAGTAGGATCCAGTCGCCTTAACCCTCACTCCACCATCTGGGCTGCCTGGGGACCTTGATAAAAATACCAGTGTCTCACACTCACCCCAGAGCAAACAAATCGGAATCTCTGGGTTCAGGCCCTGGCTTGGGTATTTTTTAAGTAGCCTAGATGACTCCAGAGTGCTGCTAGGCTGAGAACCGGGGCTGCACAGGTGTCTGGGTCAAGGCCCAGACTGTGTCATGTCCGCTAGGGCAGGAGGGACCAGCTTGGAGTCTCACTCACCAGCTTGCCATTGTCCCTCCTGGGGCTTCCCCACAGCTGGGGTCTGGGGGAAAGGGCCAGTCAGGAAAGAAGCTTGACTTTCCCTCCTTCCCAGTTCGCCTCTACAGTCGGGACGGGGCACGTGCTCAGAGAGCTTAAACAAGTGTCTGCAGGCGGCGAGTGCCCAAACAGGCCCTGGAGAGCCAGAGCCAAGTCTGATCTGCAACTGGGTGGGCAAGAAAATCCCGCCACCCTGCCTCCTGCCTGCCAGGGAGCGCTGGCCCTCTCTGGGGTGTTGCGGCGGCTACAGCAGGTGGAAGAGAAGATTCTACAGGTGAAGACGCCCTCTGTGCCTGGCTGTGTCCTGTCTGCATGGCTTCCTCTCCTCCTTTCCCTCCTCGTGCCCACCGCAGTCCCTCTCCTGTGGCCCCCTCCTGTCTTCCGTCCTGCTGGGTGCCTGCCTGTCCCCTCACCTCCACCTGGGAGGCAGCTATACCAGTCTCTCTCACTCTCTCTCCTCTCTCCTTTCCCGTCTTGACTGCAGAAGAGGGCTCAGAACTTGGCCAACAGGGAATTTCACAAAAAGAACATTAAGGAGAAGGCAGCTCACCTGGCCTCCATGTTCGGACACGAGGATGTCCCCCAGGTAAACACGAGGCTCTCAGAGCCCCCAGGAACACAGCAGGGACACTCACGCAGGCGACCCTGCCTGTCCCTGGACTTGATTTGCCCCCTCCTCTGGTTAGCGTGAGGAGCGGTTGCTGTTGCAAGCCACTCCAGAGTTTGAGCTGACATCTATCAATAAAAAAGACCCAAATGAGAAGATTCAAAGTAGCTACATCCTGACAGAGGGAAAGTAAGCTCAGGTCAAAGTAGAACTTTGCAAACAGAAACACATGCTGATAGGCCCTACCCTGTGTCTCAGGAGGCTCGGCGCTTCCTCGGGGTCAACACAAAGAGGGAGCGTTGTCAGCGCCGGATTCCCAGGGCTTCCAACCAGCTGCTCATGCATTCTGGGCACAGGAGAGAGATCTCACCATGGCCCCTGATTGGGAAGGCCAACCACATGCTAGCCTGGGGTCTGCTTCCTCAAGAGGAGCTCCAAGCCAAGAAGAATGGCTTTGCCTTAGAATGAGAGGCACAGCTCCTCCTCTAGTCACTTATCTGGAGACTCACGGTAGAGGGCGTGCTCACAGGGAGAGGACAGTCGCCACTGAGTTACCAGGTGGGCGTGTGTGCCAAGTCCTCCTGGGCTTGCAGCGAGCCTGTCTCTAGAATCTATCTTCTCTGCTGCTTTCTCTTGGTCTCCTCCAGACCTGTGTCCTATGCTGCTTGGCACAGGCAGGACATTTTCCAGGGAGCTCATTGTTAGGGTTCCACAGAGCAGCCAGGAGACACAGTTGTCTGCTTTTGGCTACAGAGGCCCCTGTCATAGCCACCTGCTTCAGAGGGCTGAGGGCTCCTCTTCTTTCCTACCCATACAGCTACTGCTTCATACGAAGTTCCAGGGCCAGGGCTTCAGTACTTAGCACTGGTGCCTGGAGGCATGGAGGCAGGAACAGAAAGGATCTGCTTGAGCTATTTCGGTGTGGCAAGGGAGCTGGAATGGTGGTAGCAGAATGCAGCGTAACCAGGAGCCAGGTGATCCTGGGTGGCTCCAGAGGCAGAGTTTTCTGCTTGGTCCTGAGACGCGCGCCTCAATGTCTTTCCCTTGAGAACATGGGCCTGGGCTGCACCGCTGGGCGTGCCCCTGGGATAACCCTCCTTTCTTCTATTTCTGTTCTGTGCAGAATAAACTACTCTCTAAAGGCCTGTCTCATACTCATCCCCCGTCTCCTCCCTCTTGCCTTCCGTCTCCTGATCCAGCTGCTCCTTCCTCTCCATCGACTATCGACTCTGCTTCTCCTGCCAGAAAGGTAGTTGTCCTGGATAATTTGCTGTCCCCACCCCCTGCATGTTTAGAGATGCCCCCAATGCTCTGCTTGAGCTGCACTGAGACCTGGAGCCTGGCTTAGCTGGGAAAATGTGTAAGCTACCTGACAACAGGCCTGGATTCCATTTGTGTGTGTGTGTATTTGAGCATGCAGTGTAGCAGAACAGGCAGCTACAAACCTTGCCAAACTGCTCGGTGATCCAGCAAGCATTAATTGGATGTCTGCTCCCTGCCAACCACTGTGCCAAATGCTGAGAAACAAAGAGCAGGGAGGTGCCCCTCCCTGACTGCAGTTCAGGTGGGAAATGGCTCCTTGGCATCGAAATTGGAGGCGTTTATACTGTATGAAATTGCTGATGTTGGCGTGTGTTTGACCCAATGGCAGTTTCACATGGTAAACCTAACAGTATTCATCATTCTGCAGAAGGTACAGAGGGCATGGTTGTAGAAAAGAGAGGGAATGAGCCTGGGAGGGTTCCTCAGAGGAAGAAATAAGGGAGCCAACTGTTCAAAATGGTGCAAGAGGATTTTGCCAGAGAGCGTGTAGGGGAAGAATGTTCCAGAGAGGGGCTGGCACATGCAGAGGCTGGTAGACAGGACTTGCCTAAAATGGGAAGACAGAATGTCTGGTGTGACTCACATTGGGAGATAAAAGTATTTATGGGGTGCAGAGGGCAAAGGTGAACATGAGCCCACTCTGTGTGTGAAGGAGTTTCCATTCATCCAGTGCGTTACAGGACGTTCTCGAAGGATGGCTCAGGTACTAGTGCAAAGGCTGACTTGGAGGAGAGGAGGCAGGGAGCTAGATAACAAAATTCCCCATGAACCATGATAAAAATAAATTAAATTGGGGCACTTTTCCGGCTCTCTACTCATCCTTTTGCTATCTAATATGCCAAGACAATACCAGGTTGGGTGAGAGAGGGTCAGTCTTCTGAGAAGCTTAGCCACTGGAATGAATGAGTCTGAAAATAAGCTTGAGCTCACCTCTTTAGCTGTTGGTCATGGAGTAGGTTTGGGGTCTCCCCCAAACCCCAAGTCTGGGGATATTTTCTTCCATGCCATTAAACTAGTGACAAGCCAGCTCTGTGCTGTCACATTAGTGGAAAATAAGAAGCTACCTCTCAGTGACCCCACCTCCATGGAGAGAAGGGTCCCCAAAAAAGGAGCAAGGAATCTCATCAGCCCCATCCCTGTCAAGATCCCCAACATGGGTGTGAAACATCTCTGGAAGGACAGCCGGAAGTGACACAGTCTTCAATGCCCTACAAATAGCTGTTATCAAGATACTGGCTCTTACCCTGAGTCAGCCATTGGGCAGCTATTCGACCTTAACTCTGTTGACTTTTCAGGGCCTCATTTCTCTCCAGAATGGCTCCTGGCTCAGGTTATAGTGAACTAGAGGGGCAGTTGAGCATTTATTGCATCACCATCAGCAAAGTTTCAGGGTAGCATTTTTGCCCAGCTTGGGAGAAGAACCCTACCCAGGGCAGACTTCTTGACATGGGAGAAGGTCACTGGCACCTTGACAGAGTGATGGGAGGGCAGGGGCCCTGGGCACAGGCCAGGTAGCCATTGATGCTCCTGGTTGGCCAGCAGGCCTATACCTCACTCCTCCTAGCCCAGCACCGCCCCTGCTACCAGGCCTACAGGGCATTCCCATCAAGGACCACTCCTGTCCTTGCATTGCTTCCATCTTCAGAAAGGCCTGGCTGGTCACTGCTCTCTAAAGGTGGAGGGCAAGAAAAACCACCACATTTCCAAATTCTCCAGCTTGTTTCTTATGCACTTTAGATCCTCTAAATGACTACAGGAGGAAGCCTGCTGGGACCATACAGAGCCACCAGATCCCACAGGGACACTTCTTGTCAGTAAAGCACAGTCAACCCTTGTATCCATGGGTTCTATATCCATAGATTCAACCAATCATGGATTGAAAATAGTCAAATAAATTAATAAGAAGAATTCAACAACTAAAAACATAAATTCAAAACAATACCCTATAACAACTATTCTTTAAAGTTTATATATTTCTTTTGTGATAAACAGCCATCTCCAACAGGGTCATCATGCCAAGTCTATCCACAGCATCAGCTCAGATTACAAATACACACATACACCCAGTGTGTGCAGTGAGACCTCAGGGTATGAACCTGGGTCCTTGCCACATGGGTCAGCATTGTGGAGCTTTGTGAATTGTCCACCACAGCTGGCCACAACTGTGTACAGAGCATTTACATTGTACTAGGTGTTATAAGTAATCTAGAGGTGATTTATAGTATATGGGAGGATGTACGTGGGTTATATGCAAATATTACACCTTTTTATATGGGGGATTTGAGCATGATGGATGTTGATTCACACAGAGGTTCTGGAACCAGTCCCCTGTGACACTGAGGGAGGATTCTGTATCTTCCATCACATCTCACTTCCCTACCGTCCACTACTGCTTTTCCACTGGGCTCTTTAGGGAGCTTTAGACCAACATCGCTCATTTGTTCAACACATTTATTGAATGAAACGCAGAGTCAGATACCTCAGGCCCTTACAATATACATCAACCAATAAGAGTTAAATTGCTGCCCTAATGAGGCTTGCATTATAATATGGGAAATAATCAACAATAATGTGATATATAAGTGAATTAAATTCTATGGTAGAAGATAAGATAGTACTTCTGGCAGAAGAATTAGAGCTGTTGGCTGGACCTGAATGTGAGGGAAGGGTGGCAGTTTTAAATGGGGAGGGCAGGGGATGCTCTCCTATAAGGGTAAGGATGGCGCAAGAGCAGAGGCACTGATGACAAAACCATAGTTCAGGGAGGAGACCAGAGCCTGGGGCTCAGACTCCCTGCACAGTGTTCTTTCCTCTATGCGAGGCCAAGTGTGAATGGAAGCCTTGTTCGACATATTGTCCAGAGGCTGAGTCCATATAGCCCCACGCCCAGGGACTGGGGGCCTGTGAGTGGGACCACAGCTTGGGGATAGCCAACCCCAGATCCTCTAGCCCCTACCTCTGCAGCTTTGTTCCTTGTTTTTCCAGAATGTGGCAGAACAACCACCTCCTGTTTCTTCCTATCCTATCTCCTACACCAGCCTTGGCCATCAGAGATTGTCATAATTGGGCTACGTCAGTGACTCCCACCTTATTAATCACAGTGGCCACCCTGGAACACTGGACCAGTCATTCAGCCTCTCTGTGCCTTAGTTTCTCTAAGTGCCATACATACTGCAGCTCTCACCCACTGTGAGTCCACATTGCAGGACATTAGACATGGTGGTGAGGTTCCAGTTTTAAGCAGTCTCGGAAAGGACAGTGCCAGCCTCTACCCTGCCCCAGCTTTCCTCCTTTCCCTGACACCACCCACCATTGATTCAATACCAGGCTTGTGTATACAATCGCAGCTTTCTCCAAGGAGAGCACTGGCTGCTCTTTCAAATAAGGGAACACCTGGTGATAAATATTAATAACTTTATTCCAACCCATGGAGCTCAGGAAATTTTTCCCCAGGAGAAAGCCTGGGGGGCTTAGTGCTTCTTCCAAACAGAGTATGGGCTGCTCTGATTGCTCAGTGACCTGGGTTTGCCTCAGTTCAGAATCAAGAAAGCCAGAAGGAGAACAATATACTTGGAAACTGGTATTTAGTTCTGGTCAACCTCCTAGCAGACAGCATGTCTCTGTTCCTGCCCCTAGAGCCCTACACCCCAATTCTAGACATCCAGTAATAATCACCTCATGGGATCAGACCTAGCCAAGCTTATCATGAAGAGCACATGCTTCTCATGGGGAGTAGTTCACCTTGAGTCATCTAGATCCCAAGAGTTGTAGCCAGGGCTCTACCTCTGGACTATATTTGCCCTCCTTCTCAAATTGGTCCACTTTAAAATGCAGAGTGGTCCTGTTGGGATTTTGGCCAGAACACAACTAGGAAATCTTGAGGCCTTCTTATCTAGGGCCCATGTACTTGCTAGAGTGTCTTTCAATGTCTTGGCCAATAGAATCTATATCCAGTCTTACTCCCCAACACCATTTTTCTCATCCATCCCATTAAACCAGTCCTCCTCTGGTGGGATCCCCTTCCTACCAACCAGTAATTAATTTCTTTCTTTCAGAAAGAAGGCCACTGTTGATTTGGCTACGGTATGGCTGCTAGCCATTTGCCAAGGCTGATGAGCTCTCACAAGACCAAGATGGCAGCAGTGCCAAGATGGCAGCTGAGTGTTTGCACAGCCAGCTGGACAAGGGGTTAGCCCCCTGACCTGGGAACTGCTGTTTATTTAGTTCTCTTGAGTCAGAGAGCAATCAATATTGCAAAAGGAGCTTTCTCTACCCTAGGGGTGTTTGTTTTAAAACTGGATTTGCAGGTTTTACTCTACAGATTTGCATGTTAGAGGGAAACATGCAAGGGCTGGGCAAATTTTGGCTGGGTTAGATGCCTTTGTTTTAGCTGATAGGAGAATAAATCTTTTCTTTTTAACTGTTTTTTTTTTTTTCCTTACGTTTTTTTTCTCATGGGGCATGTGCATTAGCCAGAGAGAGACAGAGACAGTGAGAGGAAAAATGAGAAATCACCTGCTCGCCCCCACCCCCGTGCGGGAAGGAGTATTCTGCAATCCCTTCTCCTCCATTCTCTTCCTGGGATTTGGGGCACACATGCACACAGACCCTGTGTGATGTTCAAGCCACCGGGTCTAAGACTTGAACTATAGTCATCCTTGTGGGAGTCCAGTGCTATAACACCTTGCCACCAAATCTCAAGAATAGATCTCAATGCCACCTCCAATTTCATTGTTCCTCTCTGTCCTGAGGGTAGAGCTAGGTAGCTTTTTGGAAGTCTCCTGTGTACATCCCAGCCTGGGGGTGGGGGGTAGTAATTTGCAGAGTGCTGGTGTGTATCTAGGAAGCAGGGAGCAGAGTATGAGCTTGGAATCGGAATTGAATTCAGAGCACCAGTTATTCACAGTGACCTTAGACATGTTAGTG